GAAGCCTCTCGCCGCCCCTGCACCTCTGGCCTGTACCCCAGTTCTGTATGCACAAATAAATAAATCTTTAAAAAAAAAAAAAACTATGCTTAGTCATTGATACATCATTTTGATAAGCTTGTTTATGTGTATATACAGAGCTGGGGTACAGTAGCCAGAGGTGCAGGGGCTGAGAGGATTCACCAGAGACAGAGCGGGGAGCAGAACAGGTGGATCTACTGAAACCCACTGCAGAGGGGAGCAGCGGGGAGACAGGAGAGGTCTGCTGCGCCCTGTGGGTCCCTCCCTGGCTGGGGATCAAACTCGTGCTGCAGGGACTGCATTGTTTCCTAGTGCTGTGCTCACCTCCTTGCACCACCAGGGGAGCCCTCTCATACTCTTCTCTCACCTCCGTCCCTCAAGTCCTCAGTCTGGTGGTTCAGAGACGAAGGGTTCTTGGGTCAGTGTTACTGGGCCCAGGTTATTGTCAGTACATTGCTTCGAGGGGAGTTCTGAGTTCATTATGACTTCCAGTTTGGGACTGCTTCATTTTTGTCAGCAAGTATTATGGCTTTCTGGATCACCGTTAGAGATAGAAAGAGTTCTTTCTACCAGAAATGGAGTTTGGTTTGGAGTATAACCAAACCTGTGGTCTTTTTTCTGTATTCAGCCTTATTTTCCTATCAGTAATATTTTTCCACTTATGCCTAAAAATAAAGCAATCAAATTTCTGAGACTCATCCTTTTCCATGAGGCAAATGGACTTATTTCCTGTCTCTTGCATGGAACTCAAATCCACCAACTTGCTTTTAACAAAACCGCCTTTCTCGTCTGTTAGTAGAGCAAGACTCACCATTCAGGGCCATGTGAAATTGACAGAGATAAGCACTGTTTCACATGTTGGCTTCATCTTGGCATGTATTCATTTTTTTTTTAAAAGAATTTATTCATGCATCCAAGAATTGGGGTGTAGGCCAGAGGTATGAGGGGGGAGGCTGAGAGGATTCACCAGAGACTGGGGAGCAGAAAAGGCAAATCTGAGGGAGCAGCGGGGAGACAGGAGAGGTCTGCTGTACTATGTATGGTTTGGGGGATCAAACTAGTGTTGCAGTGGCTGTGGTTAACTTCATAGTGCTGAGACTTAACCCCCTGAACCACCAGGGAGGCCCTATTCATTTAATTTTCATAAGGTTTTGTTTTTTTGACAACTACCTCCATTTTACAGTTGGGAAGATTCTGGCAGAGAGGTGACTTGTCCATGGGCTCAGTCAAAATGATGTAAGTGGGATTTAAATTCTGTATCCGACTCCAGAATAAGGGCTCTTCATCAGTGCCCTACATTTCTCACTGTTGCTTAGTTGTGCAATGACCTTGGCTGTGTGTACAGGACACTGGCTTCTGAGGCTGCAACCTAGCAAGACTCAGTGTGGCAGACGGTTGTAACAGGTTGGTGAAGTCAAGTGCTGTTTCAACGTGGCCTGCCGGACTCAGTGGGTGGGAAGCACAGATCTCTGTGAATGAGGCTTTCGAGGCAGGAGCCTTGATGAATGAAGGTCTCCATCAACGAAGGAGGCCAAAGGCTGCCTTGCTTAGACGCCCTCTGTTCAACCTCCTTGGCCCATTTACAAAACTGGTGCCAAGTGTCCGATATTTGACGGGCACTGGTGTGAGCTCACTCCTTTTAAAGACCTGATTCTTTTAAAAACTGCGTCTGGGCCCTCTCTGCTGCTGCAGTAGGTTAAAGTGCAGCACTACGAAGCTAGGCTCAGGCGCTTCAGCACGAGTTCATTCCTGGTCCAGGGGTGCAAGCCACAGCGCGCAGCAGACCTCTCCTGTCTTGCACGCTGCTCCCCTCAGCAGTGTACTTCAGCAACCTACCTGCTAATTCTGCTCCCCACTCTGCCTCTGGTGAGTTCTCTCACGGCCCCTGCACTTCTGGCTTGTATTCCAGTTCTGGGTGCATAACTAAATCAATCTTTAAAAAAAATTAAAATTCTGCATCTCATAACCTGAACAGCAGTAGCCCGGTTCAGAGTGGACAGGCCTGTCTTCTGGATTCAGACCCCAAGGCCCACCGTGCGCAGTGTTTGGCTGCAGTGCTGGAGACCCAGCAGAATAGGGGATGCCCCACTGCCTCTCTCGACTACAAGTGCCAGGACTCCTGCTGCAGAGGCCCAAGCCTGGTTCTTGGGTAGCTTGGAGCGTTAGAGAAGTCAGAAAGGCGATTCTGGGGGCAGGGGCAGAGGGCGGCAGTTGGAAGCGAAAGAGCAAGTTACAGCTCAGTGTGAACAAAGTCCTTCTCCTCAGAAACCACTATCAGCATGAGTTCGGTCCTTAGCTGGCCAGGATGCTGACCCACAGGACAGACAGACCTCTCCTGTGTCCCTGCTGCTCCCCCAGCAGTGGATTTCAGTATCTTGGCCTGTTCTGTTCCCCCCAATCTGTTGAATCCTCTCACTCCCCTGCACTTCTGGCCTGTACCCCAGTTACTATCTGCAAAAATAGTAACTCATTCCTTAGAAAACTTCTGAGATCTCTTCTCAAAAAAGACGAAGAACCAAGGTCCAGTTTGTGGGCACATGCCCAGAGCAGCGTGGTACCCAGGCCAAGAGGTGCTTACTAAAAACCTGCCAGGTGAGAACCTGGTGGAGCTGAACAACCACTTAAAGCGCAGCACTGTGAAGCTGTCCGCAGCCACTGCAGCATGAGTTCGATGCCCGGCCAGGGAGCTGACCCACATGGTGCAGCAGACCTCTCCTGTCAAGCGGAGGGTCAACTTGATTGCACGCTTGCACAGCAGCCATCTGGACGATCGCTCTTGCCAACCTGGGTAGTATTTCAGGCTTCGGCATCCAAAGGCCCTAGTGGGCCCTGGCTCAGTCCCATCTTCCTATCTTTAGAAACATTTAAAAATACTTTAACCCCGAGATGACAGGAACTACCGCCTTTTTCAACGTTAAAACACCGTCTACCCCCTTTTCAACTTTAAACAATGTCTATAGTAGAAGGCATTTAGACTACTTTTAAAGAGGGGGGTGGGGGAAGAGGATGGGGAAAAAGAAACTTAGTTCATTCTTTTAGGTTGGCAAACATGTTCCCTAGCCCCAGCAGGCACAGGGGAGCTTCTAGTGGAAGTAGTCATGACTAAAACTACACCCAGTTCCCAACTCAACCTTTCCGTGTTCCTTCTGCCATTGCGAAGACTTATCTATATATCTAGAAATAATCTATAAATCTGTATGACTAGACTTTGTATATTGTTAGAATCCAGTTATTCTGGGTCCTCTCTGATGGCACAATGGGTTAAATTAGTTATCTGCAGCCACTGCCACTTGAGTTCCATCCCCAGCCTGGGCGCTGACCCATAGGGGGAGACAGACCTCTTCCTACACGTCCACTGCTCCCCTCAGCAGTGTTTCAGTAGATCTGCCTGCTCTGCTCCCCACTCTGTCTCTGGTGAAGCCTCTCACCTCACCCCCTGCACCTCTAGCCTGTACCCCAGTTCTTGTACACATTATCTTTAAAATACAGAGCCCAGTTATTCTACAGGACCACATTTCATTGCTCAGTTATTCTGAAAATAGTAACAAAGCCAAATCTTTCCAGTTGGCAACAGACATTGACCGGACTACCCTCTTAAATCATGGAACTGGACCCCAAGTCTCAAATTGCTTTGCAAAACCACTAGCGCAGCCTCTTGACCTGTATTTATGGCTATCAAATAACTCATGCAACTGTTGGCCTTTTAGTGACCTTGAGTTTTGCTTGTTATGAGAACAGAAACCCAACAGCAGAGAATGCAAAGCAGGCCCCTCACATTCCAATAAACATGTTTCTTTGGTTGCTTTTTGATCACTCCTTGCTCATTAGCTTTGTTTTGCTGAACATATAAGTAACTATTTGAAATAGTCCAACACTCCTTAGTTTCAAGCTAATTCAGGCCAATCACAGTAAGCCCTCCCCACCCTTTTTGAGGAAGTAGAAAAAAACCTGATGCATTTGGCAGGTTAAACCATGGTCCTCCTAACCACAGTATTGCAGTATTAGGTGGCATAACCTAACTGTGGGATTCTTCTTTTCCAATACCAGCTCCTCAATCAAGGTTGAAGAAGCTCATCCATTGCAGACCAACTTCCTTTCCCAGCAAGTGAGCAAATTATGGCCCAGAGCACTAACATTATGGACAGAGATGCTCTGCTACATTGGTGCCCGTGAGCAGTGGACCATGCAGCGACACAAATACACAAATGCTGGCCAGTGGTGGTGTCAAGCACTTCAGCCAGCGTGACAGTGACAGGAACGCCCGAAAGCCATCGTTTGTGGTGCACGCTGTATCTCAGAGGAACTCGGGTCTTTCAACACTGTCTAAGTGTCAAATCCCAAAGTGTGAAGACATCAACTTTCAATAAAGGTATATCAGAGGAAAAAATAATGATGACTCATCAAAGAACTTCCAGTTTTTATTTTTTAAACATTGAACAAGAAACACATTCAACCAAGTTTTCAAAAATTAGGGTGGATTAATTTACAATAATCAAAGTTATCAGCCCTTCACTTTGGGCAAAGGAAGCCAATAGTTCCATTTAAACAGCAGAAGTGCACAACTGTTGTTTTTTACTTATTATACCCATGGCACAGGAATTCAAGCCACACAAACTTCCACTGAGATTCTCCCTTCTCTCCAGACCAGAATTCAACTGCTTCTTAGGCGAGTCTTCTCAGGCTTTGAAAAACCACCAGTTGTATTCTGAAACTTACCTACAGCTAAACTTATTAAGAGAATCCTCTCAAACAAATCTTACAGCAAACACCTTAATATAGTTTTGTGGTGTATTAGACTGCTTAAAGAAACAGCAAAAATGAAAGATAAAGCACGAGAACTGTAGTCCCGTGTACAGAAACCACCCAAACAAAATATTCCCTAATTAGCTATCTTGGCTTCTTGTAATTTACTAGCACAGATGAATCACAAGAAGCAGAATGCACCATTTTTTGGTTCTTGGTTGTAGCTGCCAGCTTATGGGTTCATGACTAAATGTAAAGCAAAGTATGACTATGCCCTTAAATTCTGGAATGGAAAAAAAAAATCTCTTTATTCAAAGTGTTTATCTTTGCTTTCAAGTCAAGACAAGATTCACAGCAGTTTACAGGATGAGGAGGGCTAGCCATGGGGGCCCAGGCAACACTGTTGTGCTCCTTCCATGAAAAATCTAACCAGGTAACGCAGAATCACCAGGACACTCGGCCACAACCTGGCGGAGCTTGCACAGCATGGAGATTCAGCTACAGAACAGGCATGGCAGCCTTTAAAAGAAAACATCTTATTTTCACACTCTTGAACCTGAAACTTTAAAACAAACACACACAAGGAAGGTCATATGTAACTTATGACAGCTGGCCAGGCACTTAACTTGGGAAAGAGACTCAGATTTTGAGGTAAAACCAGGACTGTTTTCGGCAACCACAAACGTATCACAAAAACCACATTTTACACCACACGAACTGAAGTTATTGAGGGTTTATTAATCTGTCACTGAATGGTGCCAAAACTCAAACCTAGAGAACAGTTCAGTCTGCATTTTGGCCTCATTTATGTTACTTCTGTGCTTAAAACATACTTGAGAAGACTTAAGACACATGCACACAGGGGCAGAGCACAGGAGCCCCGCGGCCTTTCCTCGAACTTGACATTCAAGGGTCAGGTCAGTCAAGTAAGAGAAAGAGGAGGCGCGACAGACAACCACCACTGAGGTAAGAAGGGCCTCAATCTAGCCACAGGAAACCTCCAGAAGGAGCAGAGACAACATAGCAGAGGCGCTCCCAGGTGCTGGGGAGCACCAGGGCTCAGGCCCTCATCCAGCTCTCTCCTCTTCTTTACTGAATTCCAAGGCAGGGCACGACTTGTTTGGTAAACGAGAATCCCTGGCGGAAGCTATAGGGCCTCAGTAACTGTCTACACATTGAAAAGATCAGAACAGAAGTGGCCATTTGGGGGCTGGTCTTCTACCAGAAAGTATCCAAGTCTTGTTTTTTATTAATCTATTTCTCCTTAGAAGAAAAGCAACTGGAAAAGCCATAAGTTACCACGACTTACTCTAATAACAACTAGAAAGTAAAACTGTAAGGACTAAACAATCCTATTTCCACTCCCTTCTGAAACAGCAACTTCAATCCAGTCTTTCTTCTCAACAAACTCACTAGCTTTTGTGACCCGCACAGACTAATCAACATCCTGCATTAACTCTTCAAAGATTGAGCCAAGAAAAAAACTGAATTTCTAATCAGAGGCATCCTCATTCTCCAAAACACAATGGGGGAAAAAAATAGTGGCTTCACTAAGTTTTACAAGGCTACAGAATAAGTCCAGACTTTAAAGACTCCGCAGGATACCAACGCTCCCAGTCATGTAAAGGGTTTGGCTGACCTTCTTTCTCTGCAGGACTAACAGCACGCACCTAACAGAACTGCCTGCCAGCCAGTTACTGGGCTTGCTCGCCTTTTACAAGCTGCTCCATTAGCACCATGCTCTTCTCAACTGAAGTAACTAGAGAAGGCTCACTGCTGGGGGAGGCCCAGGAGTGGGTAAGAAGGGATGGAGGGCAAGGTGCTTCCTTGGGTATCATGGGGTGTGGTGAAAATGTGTCTGTTAGTGTATCTGAGGCCTGAACATCATCATCACAACTTCACAACTACTTAAGAATCTGTGACCCATTTGTAGAAATTTGAACATCTGTGAAAGGAGAGCTTTCTCATGTGATCCAAATTTAAATACAAATGGAAGTTCACTGATTGGGCTGTCAGTAAGAAATTACACTTTGTAGGGGTCAACCTACCAAAAAAAAAAAAGTACAGGTCAGGTAAAAAATTATGTAAGATTATTCTCAATGTCACTTTCCTTTTGAGAAAGTCACAAAACAGGTTTCTGGAAAACTAACTTGAGCCAGCTAAGATGGCACCTGCTATCAGATCGGCACATCTTCAAGAGTAGCCAGGCCAGACAGCTATGTCAGCCGTTCACGTTCACATGTATGGTTTCTGAGATACCTAGCCACCGAAGCATGAGAAAGGAAGTCCACAGACCACTCCTAGGAAAAAGGCACTTTGTTGTGATAGTTGGATTTGACTACATAGAGTCAGGAAGACTAAGATAGATTCAAAGTCAGTCATGAGCGCTTGTATTTATGAATACAGAGCAGGGGCCAGTGTAGAAGACAGCTGACATTACAAACCAAACAGCAACATGAGCTGTACTGCCTTCTTAGCAAAACAGTAATTTCTAACATTTTCCCAAAAACCAACATAGTGCCAAGGTCAACAGTAGAAAAGAAAAAAAGCCCGAACACCAGCAGTTGCAATGAGAGAGCTCAAGATACTGTTCTCTACACGACTTTCTTGTCTATAGTTTGGTTCTGTTTCAGAGAATGAACTGCTTTACATATGAAAAACTGGGCGTGGCAGGTGTATTTTGTGTTGGGAGAGAACCTAGGGGGGGAAACACTGGGGAGCAACAAGAGGTTCATTTCTCTGGTCAGACAACCAAGCGAGGAGGTAGTTATTCTGAGATCTTCTCAAATACAGAAAATGGTACTGATCTTTTGAGAGCCAGGGGAAGAGCAGGAACTTCGTTGTGAAAGTGAAGATAGCAACAGGAATATTTCTCCTCCAGGGAAGTCAGGACCAGGGCGTCAGTGCAGCTGCAACAAGACAGACAGATCTGTGTAAGGGCAGAGTCTACGACAAGCGAGGCTAAAAGACCATGACATTCTTTTACAATTTTGTCCTACCTTGACAGTGGCTCTTTTCTGATGCTAGAATCTTCTAAGTATCTATAAGAAAAAGGAAACACACCATGTTGTTACCACCTACTTTTGATAGTTAGCCCTCAAATGCTATGCTAGCCCATGACAAGAACATGCCTCATTTCTAACATTTATTGAAAACTTAATGTCTTAAAATAAGCATGTTTTAAGAACAGGGTAGACACCTCAGTATTTTCAAAAAGGGTGCGGTGCTGTCAAGGAAAAAAGTTCAAAGTGAGCAAACTCTCAGGTGCACAGCCACATAGAAAAAATAACAGCAAATCTCCAAATCGATGCTACCTAATGATTCAGAATTGTGTCAAGCAACCACAAGCTTACCTTGTTACATCACCACACACGGCAACCCCATGCAACCTTGAGTCCCATCATCACTGCTATTGAGTTTCTTCATTCGATACTGACGTATTTCTCTTACCAGTGTGTAAAAGGCATCTTCAACACCCTGTGGAATTGTAGAAAAAAAGATAGTTTACCAGACATAATCCAAATTCTATTTCTTTATGTGGATTTAAAATTCCAATCATTGACTTATTAGCTGATATAGACAATGATTTGAATGGCACATTTTTGCAACAATAATATTCACATAAAGGAAGATGTATACTGTGGTGTTAAGCAGAGGTACCAACCAGGCCTAAAGATTCCACTCGGGGACTTAAACCCTGAGTGGTACTGATGGAGAACAGGCTAAGGTGTCAGTAGCTTTCATCAGGGCCTTCATTTGAGAAAGACTTGTGCCTGCTCATGTAGGAGTGAAAATGTCACATCAATATCATTTCATTGTGGGTTTAAACGAAGCCACACCTTGCTGCATACAAAGTTACGGTGTGAGAAATCAGTTAGGTGTCAAACCAAGCACATGGGAAAATGATGCCATCCAGAGATGACGTAAGCCTGAGGTGTAGGAGGCCGCGGCCAGCAGAACGCTGACATCACCAGGCCAGAGGGATATCAGGGCTGTGTAACGCGTGGTCTGTCCTTAAAGCAGCCCAAGCAGCTTGCCTGAGTACTGCTAAGAATCAGTAACAAAGAATGCAGCCCTCAGCTTCAGTAGTGTTCAAACCTTTTTTCTGCCTAGAGAAAGTCTTGTCAGATGCTGAAGGCTGCACTGTACCTGTCTGGTCTTGGCTGAGGTTTCAATGAACGGGATCCCGTAACTCTTGGCCAGCTCGTGGGCTTGTTTTGTGTCAACCGTCCTTGTTGGCAAATCACACTTATTTCCTACTAGCACCATGGGTACATCATCCGAGTCTTTTACTCGCTTAATTTGTTCCCTAAGACGGGGAATGTAAGAATAACTGTTAGGAAAGAATAAGCAGGCCCCCAAAATTCCAGCCCTATTACCTTCCAGTATTAAGCTTCACTTTCCCCTGCCACTATTTACAAAGACATTGCATACTAGAGAGACTGCTTCAAACCCCATTGCTACATGGCCCCAAATCAGATCGTTAAGTTTCATTTCATTTTAGACATGTGGTCTGTCACCTGCGCCGTCACAACGTGCAGCACTGCTCTAAACTCCACCCAGCGACGGTATGCACCAAGATACCCTGCATGCTGGCGCAGCTTGCATTAGGGGAAAGCTCTGAGAATATTCAGTGCTTGCCGAGTGCTCACCATTTCACTATTCAGTACTCTTTTTCTAGAGAGCAGACGGAATGGCAGATTTAAGATGAAGCAAGCACAGAATGTAGTTGGGCTCAGCTTGCCTTTGTGGGTACACTGTCATGTGCGTGCAGCGCAGGCCACGTCTCCGGGCTGGAGGTGCAGCACTTCCTGCGTGTTACGCACTGTGTTCTGGGTGACTTACATACTGACTAGCTCAATCTTTGCAGCACCATGAGGTTAAGTACTGTTATCCCATATTCTCGCTCATTGAACTGAGGCTCAGAGATCTAGTAACTTGCCCCAATGTCTGTGGCTAACAGATGATGAAGCCAAGAGTCTACACTCTGAATCATTTATTTCTGCTTCAAGAACCCAGAACCAAGAACAAGGATCGCTGGGTTTTGTAATGGCTCTCTTGAGAACAATCACGTCTGAGAAAATCTAAGAAACCTTCTTAAAGTCCTTTTCTGATTCTGTAATGTTAGTCTGGCTTTTTTAACAGGCTAAGTGAACCTTAAGACCTTAAGTTTCTACGGAAAAAGACCATCACCTGTGCAACTCTGCCCTGCTTTCATCTTTACCACCCATGTATCTATCATATTCTCTCACTGCACGTTTCTCAGAGGTTTCAGAGAATTTCTCTGAAATTCCTTTGTGATCTCATATCATCCCTAGTACTGCTTCATTAGTAAACTTCACTTCTGTATCACAAATCCTAGTAATAATCTACTATACAGAATAAATTTAAACATTAACTTTTAGTTGTCACCCAAGATCTTTAGTGGCGAATATTTAAAAACCAATTAACAATCCTATCTTCCTTAGTGTGGTATTCTCATCCCCCTACAAAACTTCAGAGAACACAAGACTCAAAATCACCCTTTCAGAAAAAAAGAATGCTCCCTGTACCTGTAGAGATTAATATCTGCAAATGACTTGCTATTATTGATGGCGAAGACACAGAGGAAGCCTTCGCCTGTCCGCATGTACTGGTCTCTCATGGCGCTGTACTCCTCCTGCCCAGCTGTATCCAGTATGTCCAACAGGCAAGTCTCACCATCTATGACCACCTGTTTTCGGTAAGAATCCTGGGTTTTGGGGGGTGGGGCAGGAAGAGGAGGAGATATAATTTTTATTAAAAACCACAAGGACTGCAATGCCATTGCCAAGTTTAAATAAGCTCTCAACCAAGTTCATAGCAAGATGTAATCAGAAACCAAAAGCTCTCATGCCCTCCTATGAAAAAACCCTGACTCCAGAAAGGAAAATGTGGTCACTCAAGTTCCTGAAAAGATGGGCAAAAAAGTGGCAATTTAAAAAATAGCTCTAGAGCAGTCAAGCTAGAGATGATGCCCAGTATTTTACTTAAGTATGAACTGGACTCTTGAGCCGCTTACAGCAACCTTACTATGTTAAAATCCTCGACATACCTCTGTGACTTTAACCTGGCCCCAGTAACAGTGTCATCTGTGCTAGTTGACTCAACACGCAAGTACTCTTTGTATCAGAAAAGGTCAAAATACCAAAATATCTGGGGGGAAATATTCCTACATCTTCCAAACAAGGTGTAGTTTAATTCCTAATGAATACAGACCCATGTGATTCACATAAAAGATATACTTGCAATTTGGCATTCAGGAAAAAGTTTCACTTATATTTTGCCTCTGTTCTAGAACTTCAGTTCAAAGAAAATAACCTTATCACACTTTGTAAACATGTGACTCCAGAAAAAAAAAAAAAGTTTCCCGCTGATAGTTCGCTTGTAACTTACTTCATTCTGAGAAGGTAACTTATTTATTTTTAAAGATTGATTTATTCATGCATAACAGAACTGGAGTACAGGCTAGAGGTACAGGGGCAGTGAGAGGATTCAGAGACAGAGCGGGGAGTACTGGGTGAGTCACGTGGGTCACCTCCCTGGCCTGGAATCGAACTCACATTGCATCACGTTCATAGTGATGAGCTTTAAGGTAACTTTTAAATTAACATGAAATTCACACTGCTAAAACTTCCTTTTAAGCATGAAATAATGGCAAAGTGTAAGAGTTTTCTGAGCAAGTGAGCAACTAAATTATACATAGGTTATTTGTGTAAACAATTTGTGTGAACAGAGGGCAAACAAAGTAATTTCTTCCTGGCAGGGTAGGGAGTTTACTGACTGGGAAAGGGTCTGGGAGAGTTTTAGGGGGCAATGGAAAGCGGCTGTATTTTTATCTGGGTAGCAGTTAAATACATATAAATTTTAAGAGTCATTGCACGATACACTTAAGATGTATCTGCTTCTCTGGTTGCAAATTATCCTTCCATAAATGAAAAAGAAAAATATTAAGCATTTCTAACTTTTAATGCTTAAGGTATTAAGCCTGAAATGTTTTTTCCAGAGGGATAACTTTTAATTTTTAATAACAACCACACCAGTCTGAGTTTGTGTTAATTAACCACTCACTGGCTGGGTTGTAGAGAGACCAGGGCATATATTCAAAAAATCAAAACGAAACAGAGCCTCCCTAGTAGCGCAAGAGGGTAAGTCTCAGCACTTTGAAGCTGTCCACAGCCACTGAGCAAGTTAAATCCACTGCTGGGGAGCTGACCCACGTGGCACAGATGACGTCTCCTGTCTTGCCCCCTGCTCTTGTCAGCAGTATATTTCAGTCCATCCGCCTGTTCTACTCCCCACTCTGTCTCTGGTGAGCCCTCTCTCCCCCACACCTCTGGTCTGCAATCCAGTTCTTGTACACACACACAAAAAAAAACCTTAAAAAAAAAATCTCTAGCGAGACCTTTCTAAATTGAGTAAGTTACAAAGTCTCTTAAATGATCTTAGGTGGAGCTTAATAAAATCAATCCACCACTTGCAAGTTCACAAAACAAAACATGGTTTTCCACCATGTGGTAGATAGGGCAAGTTTACCTTACTTTATAAGATGAGAAAAATGAAGCTCAGAGAAATTATGTGACTTGCTCAGTATCACCTAACAAAATAAACCGTAAACAAGGACCACCAAAATCCTAGGCACAGTGACTTTAAATCTCAAATTCTTTCTACTTAAAAGTCGAAAGCTGAGACCCAGTCTGCACTACCACAAGAATATAAATTGCAAAACAGCCAATTATTTCTCTAAAACCTTTCTAGTAAAAAATCTGGAAGGTGGCATCACAAGACCAGAAACTGGAAAGGGGAGGCCAGAGGAGAGATGATTAACATAGTCATTAAAGGGCTGCAAAAAGCAAAGTACCCAGACCCTGAGGTGGGGATATGGAGATTGGAGGCCATTATAGAGACAATAAAAAGTCACTGGTCCTTTCAAAGAAAGCAAAACACAGTCAAACAAAACATAGAAAAACCCTTAGGCACCAACCCTAGAAATAACTCAACAGTTGATTCAGCCAAGGCATGAACCCCTCCCAGAGAGAATACTAACAGAGCAAGATGCAGCTCTCTGCCCGCCTTTGCCGATGCAGGATCTTTTTTTTTAAAACAAAACAAAACAAAACCCGGGTCTTTTCAGAAGCCACTTTCTGCCAGCTTGTGCCCGTGCAAGCTTATCCTTCCCTCCCGTCTTGGACATAATTCACTGTCTCTGCTTGGTGGAGAAACTCGCCCGGTGCCGGTAAAGGGGAGCGCCGATGAGATGAAATTTTTCGCAGACGTAACCCAAGCACTAGGCTTTGAGCCCAACCCCTCTCCAAAACTACAGCGTTTTCTATTTACAGCCTACTATGATCCCATGAGGCAATCGTTCTACCTGTGGTCTCTCTGTAACAGTGCGATTACCTATGAAGCAACGAAGTTAAGTTCAACACTGAGCTTCCAAGTTTGTAAAAAACCGTCCTCCACAAACATGAAAAGCTTTCCTTAAGGGATTCGTGAACGCAGTGCCCAATGTATTTTCTACCTTCTCTTCTGACTATTTCTGGAGCTGAAGATCAGTCGAAAGTTACAGGTACAGGATAAAACAAAAGCGAGGCGGGGTCGGCCAACACCGCTGGGCCTCACTCACCTCTATGGTGGGATCATATTCGTCCACAAAGTGGTTCTGGATTAGCTGGATTGTCAGTGCGCTTTTCCCAACGCCACCTGCTCCAACCACCACCAGTTTGTACTCAGTCATTTCACACCAGCAAAAACCTGTGGGAAAGCAGCAATTAGGGTTCCGCGGCGAGCCCCATCAACACTACTTCCAAGTTTTCTATGCCCAACAGCAACTAGAAGCAGAGTTTGAAACGTGTCGGTTCCGTAACGGGAACCTGCACTGCACTAGGTGCTCGGAGGGACTGAGGACAGAAAAACAACACACACTCGCGGCTTACGGCGGGCTTCGAGATTCTGGGCTCTCGCCGTCCAGTTACTCCAACCTCGACTATTCTCCAAGTGCTCGGGCTCCGCCCTCAGCCTAAAGCGAGTCTTCCCAACCCCCGCTTCCTAACTCTCTCGGCAAGTCCGCCCCGCTCCGGGGAGAGGTGCGAACAGAGGCGACCCCCTCTCCTCCGCCAGTCTCCGCCGCTCCCAAGGCGAGCTCAAAATGAAGGACCCCCGCCCAAGGCCTTTGTCTTCGCCTCCAGCGCGCCCGGCTCCTGGCACCCCCGAAGCGCCCGTACGCGCAACGCCAAACGCCGCCCGCTGCAGGCTCTCACCGCAAGCTCGGGTACCTCCGCCTCCGACAGACTTTGAACTACCGGGAGAAATGTTGGAGACCCCGGAACCGCCATTAAAAGCCCCCACCTGGGAGCGGCACTTCCGGCCCCGCCCGCTACGTAATCAGGAGGCGCCCGGGGCGCCCGAGGCCCCGCCCCGGCCACGTGGGCCTCAGACCCGGGAGTCACGCGGCAAGCCGCACCCAGCCCGGCCCCTCCCACCCAGGACGTTTCAATAACGAAAGTGCTAGGTGCTAGTGTCTCAAAAATCAGTAAAACTTTATTCGCTTCCATTCTTTCGCCATTAACAGAAAACTGGAGAAAGCAAAAATGTTTTGTGTTTACAAAGATAAATGGCCTCTTTACCCAGAGAAGATCAAAACCTCAAACGACAACGAGGAAGATAAAAGTGCCCTCCTCCCCACACCCCTGAGCTGACCCATGTCACCTTAGACACAGTCTTCGTCCACTGACCCGGGACCCTGTAAATGGCCAATTCAAGATGAGGGCCGAAAATCAGACCAATGCGTTCCCGTGACAGAAAGTCTACACCAAGGGTCAAGTGCCTGTACTCCACAGGACACAGGAACCAGGCGGCTAGTTATAAAAAAAACAAGATTCATTTCAGGCACAACTTTTTTTTATTTTTTTTGTTTGTTTTGTTTTTTGTTTTGAAATCAGTAAAAGAAACTGGGTCCTAGAAGCTGCAGTGATCGAAGCAGCAGCAAGTTTGTGCATTCGTCCTTTTGTTTTTGTTTAAATACGTTTTAAATTATCACACTGCTGGCACACCTTATATGCATGAAATTCTGCACCATACATACTAATTGTAGTAAAATTACCCTCCCCCCCAATACCCAGGAAGAAAAAAACCTACTCTGGAATTAATTTTCACTGAAATCTAACCAAACTTCGTTAAGTGGACTGGGACAAGATTATAAATGATATGAAAAATAACATTTTAAACATTTGGCCATCAACTTAAGGAAATGGTTTACTTATATAAATTTTTGTAATTTTTAAAAGGTAATACTTTCTACCCTCATGTGGTCCTCAGAATTAAAGCATAATGAACAGGAAGGAAAAGGAAAAGAATGCGACCAAGTGCTGTGGCAGAGCATCCTGCCGGGAGTTAGCACGGCAGAGGATATACTAAATATCAAGTGCAGGATTTCATAGGCCAACAAGGTAACAGTCGATATTTTTCACTTATACAGGCGAAGTGGATTCTGCAATTACCAGTTGCGTTAAATGCACCAAATAAAGCTCCTAAAATTGATACTATAAGGCGCCACCTTAAGTTTTCCAGGCTGCAACTGTGCATAATTTTAAAATGGTTTTCTTAAATTTATTTATTTTTCTTTAAACATAACACGAGGAAGGTGTTAAAACTGGTGTAATAGCTCCATAGAATAAGTATTCCAGATTTGGGGAGGGATGAAGAGGGAGATATTCAGAACCCTTCACCAGAATCCCCCCAACTTGATCATAGTGGATTAATGATGTGCTTTATGGATGTGGTTAGTCAATGACACCAGCTTGACGAATCTTTCTTTCTGCACCAAAACCCTGTGAAGAAAAAAAAAACTGTGGTTAATGACTTCAATGCACGACAATTAGTACATTAATTCCAAATGAAACACAAAACATTACTTTTAGTGACTGAAATCAGTTCTTTCCTAAAGAAGGAAGTTTTATCCCTCAATTCATTACCTATAGACTATGTTCAAAGTATTAAGAAATATACTAAAAAAAAAAAATTAAAAGGATATATTTATGAGGAAATGGAGAAAGAAAAAAGGACACCTATATATAGTCACAGTGGGTAGAAAGCTGCTAGAATAAATGTTATTGAACAACCATTTTATTAAAGGCTGACCCAAATTCACCAGTTACAATGCCAAAGCTCCTTGCTTTATTTAGCTTGGAGTTATGCTGCCTTGTCAGCTGGACCCTTAAATCTTCTATGATCCCATACCATTGAGTTATCTGGTCCCCTTGGTTGACGAAGAACCATTAGGCGAGGAGCACTGGCATCATCCAGGGTGATGTTCTTCAAGCGATTGACCAACCTGTCAGGTCGTGGTGCTGCGACAGCCTTGGGGCCCTCACTGTAACAAAGTCAAAAGGTGAAAAAGAGTGACACTTGGTGGAAGAAAGAAAGTACTTGCCTAGGAGAGTGTTTTCTACATAACTGCCCAAATGACTCACTTTTAATGAAGAGGTGTGTGTGTGTATGTGGGGGGGTGGGGGTGGGGGGCAGGTGATGAGAGGAGTCTTGCCTCATCTAGCCAGCCAGCAAGACAGGACAGACAAGTTTATGATTTTATTCCCAACTCAAGGTTTACTATTGCATAGGAACCAGGGGGGAAAAAAAATCAGTGGGGGAGGATTATCCCTAAGAACTGCTATATACCCAGAAAGAAGAGTTCTACAGACACATAAAGAAGGTAATGGCTATGAAAAATCCTCAGAAAATTTAAATATGAACAAATGTTTCCAGGGATTCCCAGATCCTTTTATGATTAACAATGCTGAAATTAACAAATCACTCAAAAGTCAGAACTAAGCTACAAAATCAGACTCATAAACATGAAACCTACAAAATAGGTTAAGTGGCCAAGATAAGCAGAATACTTGGGGGGAAAAAAAAAAAAGGACAGAGCCTTTCTATGCTGGTTCACATCTGAGACTATGTTTAGGCAAGGAAGACTACAGAGAAAACAAACAGTGGAAGTCTCAAGAAATAACCAGACATGGCAGAAGATTAAAAAAGTGAAGAAATGTGATAGAGATTAGAGAAAGTGAAGAAGCTGGGCGTGGTTACTGACCCAACAACAAACACTCACCAGACTCGCCAAACATTACAAGCACTGCACTTGCCAGTGCGCTGATTAAGGATCACCGAGAACTCCACCTCATCCCCAGCCTGCAGCTCAATGCCATCCTGCACTTCTTTCACATGGAAAAAGAGCTTCTTGCTATCTCCAACTTCATAGTTAATGAAGCCAAACTGAAAACATAACAAAACAAAAGCTAAGAAAGATGTACCCTAGGGGGGAAAACACCTTATTTCTTTAATGACTTACTTATTATTATTTATGCATACAGAATTTGGTACAGGCCAGAGGTGCAGGGACAGTGAGAGGATTCCCCAGAGACAGAGCGGGGAGCAAGCAGGCCTACTGCCGGAAGTACACTGCTGAGGGGAGCAGCGGGCGGGTCAGGAGAGGTCTGCCATGCCATGTGGGTCAATCTCTAGCTGGGGATCAAACTTGTGCTGCAGTGGCTGCTACAGCTTCATAGTGCTTAACCCTTGTGCTACCAGGGAGGGCCCAAAACACCTTATTTTAAATGAAGCACAGTATCTGACCCTAACTGGAAGGGGATTTAGTAAACATGGCTTTAATACTGATGCTCTCATTCAGCTGCTTGTGCTATAACAGAATAGCCGATAGGTTTGTAAAACCTGTCAGATCAAGGGGAAAAATGGATTTTAAGTTCAAGGCAAAGCTTCCCTGTAACAAAGGTTGTAGTATGTCTTCATATATTATACGAGCTGAGTTTTGGAATTAAGAGAAAACTGTAGGAGGGAGCTGTTACTTAAATATTTTGAGCCTTTCTAGGATAATTAAGCTGCATTAGGGCATTATAGCAGCCATAAAAAAATGTTATACCGCTGTTGAAAATATCCTGAGAAGTCATAAAAATTTCCGAGATCTTACTATCTGTAATTTTGTTGGCCCTAAGCTTATTTTATGAATCCTTCTTACATGGTTTCTGTGTGATCTGCAAAAGAAAAAAAAAAGAAAAAAAGCCCCCAAAACTTGTGTTCTTCATCACATAATGTCTTTTATTAATAACGTTCTTTTAGTTAATACCCATTAAAAAAATTAATTTATTTATGCAATTAAGAGCTGAGGTATAGGCCAGAGGTGCAGAGGGGTGAGATTCAGAGACAGAGTGGGGAGAACAGGTGGATGGTACTGAAACACTGTTGAGGGGAGCGAAGGATGAGCCAGGAGAGGCCTGCTGTGCCCTGTGTGGCTGCGGCATGGACTCAGCATGGCTCAGCATGGGGCATGTCTCAGCACTGAGAAGGCTGAGATTTGACCTCTACATGGAGGCCCTCTGGTGGTAGTCTTGAAATAAAAACCAAAATAATTGAATGTTAATAGTTGCTTTTTAGTTGAAAAATGTTAGATTTTGGCTACTATTCAATCAAACCGAAAGAATCAAATTAGATCCCGAAACACTACACTTACCTGATCTTTCACACACTCCACTGTGGCCCTGCGCAGGGGTGTGATGTTGCAGGCCATAGTTTGTGCATTCTGGCCCAGGACACACAGCTGAAACTTGACGCTCTCTCCCTTCTGCAGGCAATCCCCTTTGTTGGCCATCCCAACTATGCCAAATGGATAGACTTCACCTTTCATATCTCCTGGAAAGAGAAACAGGTACAAAGTCTAAGAGCTAGTATTTCAAAATATTTCTCTGCTCATGGCTCCAATAAAAGATGAAGTCGCTAAAAATATATATTCCCTAAGCCTTTAAAAAAAATTTTTTTTCCCATACAAGAATTGGGGTACAAGCCTGAGGTATTGGGGGGGGTGAGAGGACTCACCAGAGACAGAATGGGGAGCAGAACAGGCAGATGGACTGAAACACTGCTTGAGGGGAGCAGTGGGTGGGCCAGAAGTCTGCCAGATCTTGTGGGTCAGCTCCCTGGCCAGAGATGGAACTGGTGCTGTAGAAGCTGTGGACAGCCTCACAGTGCTGCACTTCAGCACGTCACACTACCTGGGAGGGCCCCCCAAAAGTCTTTTTGAAACCTAAAATGCTCAATTTTAAAGCTTCAATGAAATCATGTTAAGTACTACCATAAAAACAAATCAAAACTTATAGATCATTATCACTTTACCAGCTATGAAATTCTGAGAAGTTTTAAGCCACGCGTGAGAATTTAAAATAATTACTCACAATCTAGCATTTGGCTGCTCTGATCTGTTGGCTGCTCTGATCCACTGGGTTACTTTCTTGAACTCACAGCTAAAATATTTCTGACTGTAACTGCGCATTAAATATGACAGGCACAGGCGAAAACAAAATAAAAACTTCCCTGGTATGCCCCCCCTTTGACCGTGGCTCTGTCTAACTAACAGGCACCTTTTCCCAATAGGGCTGAGCGCACTTGTCTCCAGACAAACGTTCTGTTTGCGTATCATCTTGCCTATGCCACAACTACTGTTATGATGAGAGCAACCAGAAAATGTACATAAATAAATGACTGGCTGCTTTTCAATAAAACTGTATCTACAAAAACCAGCAAACATATTGCTGAGCTCTGTCCTTAAGTAAAACATTAGCTGGAGGTTAGTGCAGGCTATAGACCAAGAGTTTAGCTGCTTATCAGTTCCTTGGAAGGTGAATCTAGTGCATCAAAGAATAAGTGAAAGCTTCAGAACTGAAATTACTTTATTTTCTTGATGACCACAGGGTTAAGGGAAGGTTTTCTTTATAATCATACAAGAACAAAAAATAGGAGATTATCAAAGCAAATAAGTCACGCTGAAGAACTACTAGGTCTAATGTAGAGGCATTAGTAACTACCACTTATTAAGCTGTATTGATTCATATCTCATCTCCATAGATCCCCTGAAGCTGGAGACGCTACCCATGTGATAAAGATAAAGGAAATACAGCAGCA